AAGAAAATGTACCTTCTCTAAGATAGCAATTGAGGCAGGGGCATGGCAAGTTCCGGTCTTGAATCTTCCGCAGGTGCCCACAGGAGTTCCATAGCTCGCAAACTTGATTCTCCTAATAAACTGCCCAGCATTACATTTAAGTCGAATCTTTGATGGATGTATACTCATTTCGTTTCTATCTTCGCTTTCGGTTTGCCAGTTCTTGAAATTTGGGTGATATTCCGCCACAGTGGCGCAGACTCTGCCTACCGATCTCTTGACGAGACTGATTTTGCTGGGGTCTCCACCGAGCTCCTCGAAAAGCACCAACTGATTTCCAGTTGGTTTTAGCCATGAGAGAGGTACATGATACCTAAAATCATGTAAGAAAATAACAATAGTAAAATATTAGTAGATACTGTCATTAATTTGCAAAGTGCTAGCTTTTTNCTTTTCCCATGCTTTTTAAGTCCAGAGCTAGTGCCTCGGCTCCATCAGGTGCATCGAAAGTAGTCTGCAAAGGGATAACATTCCACGATGCATGCATGTCTCATTTCTTATTCAGACAAAATATATATATATATATATATATATATATATTTATTTATTGATTATATTTTATTGTAAGTTTTTGCTTCTTCGCTGGCTTAATGTAATTAAGTACCTTAATCCATGTCAAAGGCTGCATTTTTTGGGATATGAGCGAATTCATAGCCCAGTCGACTGAACTAAAACCATTTGGGTACGCGAGATTCATGGTTTCTCCCTTGAGCCCGACCTGCTCAGAAGCTAATAAAATTATTTCACAAGACCATTTTTTTCTAAAAGAATAAACTATTGCTGGGCAAACCAAATGTGGTGTCTAGCCACAACACCTGGTAAGTCCAGACTTGCCGGCTCAAGTCTAATTTTCCCTGGTCAAGCCCCCGCAACGTAACAGTGCCCAAAATGCCGACAGGCCATCGCTCATAACTTGTACCAATGTTCTACAATTTTTAAAACAAAAACATAAAATGTATCTGTGAGAAAAAAAAAAATCACTGAAGGAACATCAGAAAATTATTGTGATAATCAAGATTTAGGAAGTAAGAACTAACTGGGAGCCCAACAGCAACACTAAGAAGTCTAATCGTATTACTCCCAGCACGGAGGTTGACTTCTCGCTTAAATATAAATCTCCTATTTTGTCTTGTCCCATAACCATAACCTACATAATATAATTATTGTGATAATCAAGATTTAGGATTTAATATATTTAAAGATCCTTGACCAGAAAAAAGAATGTTTTTTCTTCTTTACCACATAAGATTCCATTCACGTAAACATAAAGAACGCTTGCCGTTGTCTGAACAGAAAGAATCGGTAACTTTCCACCTCGCAAGAAGGATTCTGATGAGTCAATATGAACACTGCCAAGATAAACAATATTATAGAAAAAAAAGTCAGTATAATCACTAATCACTGTTCACTTCTCCTGACTTGCTAGAAACAAAGTACACTTGACTTACTTGGTTGTGTACCAAAGATAATCAGTATAGTCGTTAGTGACATCTAATTGTTCCACGAGGCCTCTGGCTGTGAAAGTCGAGCTGCCATCCGAAGAAGTTAAATCTTCGTTATATGATTCCCAGTTGGAGAACTCAATGCCTGAGGAGATCATTCTCATATTTGATGTTTGAACCCCAACCTGTCATCCACCAATCACAAAATCCCGTGTTAAAAAGGTATGATGAAAATTTGGTGCATAATACCCAGACTTAAGGAAAAAAAGAATTATTGTTGGCATAATTACAAGAATCTACCATCCCCGTTTTTCCTGATTAAGCAAAAGAAAACAAACAACAATTTTTTTTAGGTTCATTTACTTAATGCAAGGCCTCACAAACACGCCCTTAAGGTTTGATTTATGTTTTTACAACACCTCTGAAGGTGCTTGAAGTTAATTTCTGAGAGATAGCAGAGGTTCTTTTGTAACTACTTGAAGACTCAAGGGTATTTCCGCAATTAACCATAACTGCTAATTACCAACTACCAAGATGATTACATACCACGGCTGTATTGAAAATGACATCCTGGCAGTTTGCGAGGATGCTGATGGACTTAGGATGCAGTTTAAAGTGCTGGTTATTGAAGAAAACTTTTACAACATTCTCAGTATCATAATTCGAAAGGAAGGCAGCACATTTGGAAGAACTTGGATTGTGGTATACATAAGCCTGGACAAATCATCAAATGTTCAGAAAAAACGGGAGTTTGGAAAATCTCATTATATGTTCAAGTGAGCTGACAAAATTAGAGGTAGAACCTGTTGATGACTCCCTAAAGAAATTACACTGGGGTCGGCCGAAACAAGAGCTCTCTCACACAGCTTAATGGCTTTGTGCAGCTGTTTGAGATGACTATGTTTAGGTTCACGTAGCATACCTATCAAGTCAACACAAAAAACATATTTAGCCTGAATTTAAAGTTAAATTCAACTTGCTACGTCAAATGAAAAATCGTCCCATTGTTGGAGGGGCTAAATATTCACTGAAGCACCTATTTTACAGAAAACTAGTTTTGCCAGTCCTAGAACAAGGACTACTGGGAGATTCAGTTCCTCTAGTAGTTACTTCTTACATTTGGTCCTGCATGTTTATAAGTTCTTCTTTTTTTTTTTAATCAAGAATTGCTGACTATAACCAATGAGATTCTGACATCACGTGGATGAAGAATGTGGGGATTTTTTGTATTTCACAACTAATTTCATGTCATGCCAGCTCTCACCACTCAGTAATTTTTTGATGAATTTACACAGCTCGAGAAAAAAATCGCAACGTCGTTTCTCATTCTTTTGACTTCCTGCCACTCGCATGTGAGGCCGTAGATAATTGACAAGCTTTTATTTTATTTTATTTTATTTTTTTCTGATAAGCGAGAGATGAATAGATGATATATATAGTTTACATCTACCGAAGAAAATATGATAGGCCTTATTAGAGTAGTAAATAATATATCCAGCCAATTGGATAAAATTATTATAGTTGTAAAAATTTCTTATTCAACCAGTATGTCCAAACTTTCAAAAGATAGAAGTGAAAAGTGAGTACTAATATACTGATTAAGTCTCCATTTTATACCACTCGACAAGGACCAAGAAAAGCTAGCTATTTGCCACCCATATTGCTATGTTCCTCTCTTGATTTACAACTAGCAATGTCTTCAATATAGAAAATGAAACATAAGCTCTTATGCCTCTCTCAAAAATGTTCTAGAACCCCAGGAGGTCCCACATTGCGAAAACCAAACAAGGGTAAAATAATTTTTTCCCCTTGCACCTCAAATAATGATTGAAATGCACACTGCAACTTCAACTGATGATTCTCTCATTTATTGGGATATAGAGCATAAGTAGTGTTAATATTTACCGTATTCATCAATTGGAGCATCATAATCGTAGCTTGTAGTTAAGAAAGGCCCCCCAGCAGTGCGCCCAAAATTCGTGCCTCCATGGTACTGTACCACATAGAATACAGGCAACTTATTAGGTTCTTGTGAAATGCATATCATATTGGTAAGGCTTTCGAATTGTAAGAAACTAAAGTATTTGATGAAAACACGAAACCAACCATGTAATAGTTAACAAATGAGCCTCCCTTCTGAAAGAAATCAGCCACAGCAAATGCCAGATCCTGAACTGGCCTCTCGTATTTTGTACCACCAAACTCCGTAAACCTAATGGTCGGTCAAAGAGATAGTATATATAAAATGGTAGTCATAATTTCTTTCTTGAAAAAAAAAGAATAAATAAATAAATAAAAAATCTTACCAGCCAGTCCATGCCTCAGTCCACATCTTAGGTTTGGAAGGTCTGTTGGGACTGAAATCATCACAATAGAAGCCGTTGCATGTATTGATCTACCAAAAACAGCAGCTAAGGTTCAGTTATAATTATACCTCCTTATCTAATAATGTAAAAATTCTTACTGAACAAAATCCAGTACAAACAATCACGATCACTCAGCACAGAAGGAGAATCATGATTTTGGCTTTAAAGCTATTTTTTACCACAGGGTCAGGGGCATCATCCTGCTTGCACATCATCCATGGGACTCCAGTATTCATTTGAACTGCCATATTTGCAGCCCAAGTCATATATTTATAGCCCTGAGCACCAAATCTGTTTTCTAAGGACCCACCATACTCATTCTCAATCTGAGCAAGAAACCAGTCGAAATTTATGTTAAAGTCTATTGCGTAAATGAATCTATTTTAGAAAATTAATTTGAAATCGAAATCTGTGACACCAAAATAACTGGAAACCACACCTGTGAGATTATAATTGGCCCACCCTGTGATGCAAACAGATTTTCACTCTTCATGAGGTCGACAATTTTCCGGGTGAAGCCTTCCATGGCATTCTGCGACAAAGAGATTAAACAGATGTTTCATAGAAGATTTTCAAATGAATGTAGATGTCATTTAAGAACACCCATCAGCATATTTTGTGCCATTAACACAATCATTCACTCCTAAATAGGAAAAAGGCAGGTTAGTAAAATCAAAATGGGAAGACAGGGATGATGATAATAACCTTGAATGGCTCATTATCTGTCCTGAAGCTAATTCCTGGTACATTTTTCAGCCAAACTGGGAAACCCCTGATCACCACAAATAGAAAATCAATTAAACACATTCTGCAACAAAGACCCCAAGTCAAAATACTGTATAGTGACGAAGGTAATGGTTTGGAGTTCAGATATAAGCAATTTTTAACAGAAATTGGTACCCAAAATTCCATTCAGCACAAACATATGGCCCAATACGAAGAACTGCATAAAGCCCGGCTCTCTGAATGATCTTTAAGAACCTCACCAGATCATTCCTCCCTTCAAAATTATACTGAAAACCCACAAGTAAAAGATTCACAAGACACAAGCTTTAGCCCAAAATTCAACAAATACAGGCAGAAAAACCACCAACTACTCAAGAAAAACCAACAGAGAGAATAATACTTGGCCAGGGGAAAGCTCATGAAGGTTCCAAAACACGTAAGTCTCAATCGCATTCAGCCCTCCGTCTTTAGCCTTCATTATAAGTTCCTCCCACATCTAACCAAAAGTGANATAAAAGAAAACCCAGCAAAATTTTCTAAAGATATTAATGAACATCAAAAAAGACCTCAGGGGTGCTTCTTGGGTAATGGATTGAACCAGAAATGATAATTCTTCTTCGCCCGTTAATAATTAAGCTCTTTCTGTCATAACGCACATCACATTGCACAAGCCCACATCCAAGAACCACCGCCATCATGCACCCCCAGAAAAAACACCTTGGCAAAAATGATTTAGTTTTCATGCTTTCCCTTTTCCGGTTCAGAGCTCACTCTCTCTCCCTCTCTAAAGAGAAAAAATTAGATAATTTGAAGGTAAGCCCCGACTTGCCGGCGTAATCCCACCAAACGAGATTCGAGGTCACGAAGCGAAATTCAAGGAAGAATGTGGGCGTAGGCCTAACTGGATTGCGGGAAAACTGAAAAACTGCGCATTTCTCTTTGTGACGAGGAATAAAATTTTCTAAAGTGTCTCTCTGTTTTATATTTAACTTAACAGTAGTTGGTGAGTAGCGTGTACAGCTTTTGAGTCACTTGAGACTTTTGAGAGAGCTTAACTCTGAAAAAACGCAGAATTGGAGTATAAATTAATGAATGTTGAATTTCTATATTTTCCATTAATGAATGTTGAATTTCTATATTTTCCTTTCCTTTTTCTCCTTTTCACACATTTTTTTTTTCAAGTATGTAGAAGGAAAAACAAAAGGGAAAAGAACAAATTGACCAGCTGATAAAGGTAACCAACAAGACGACAGAAACGAATATTTGTATAATGATAAAAGTATTAAACATTACCAAGCCTTGTCATAAGTAAGACTGATTAACACTATACAAATAATTGTATGAATTTTTTAATGAGTGTCGGTCACGCTCTGGCTGATGCGTTCCCGGATTCCGGGGGACATGATAGATGGCTATTGTTAATTAGTATACTATAAATTAGCACACAGATTGTGAAATTTTGTTAGATAAGAATGTATAAAATATAAATGAAATATTGTGACATTCATTGCATGTGTTGTGGTACACCATAAATTTGAGTAGTTAAAATGTGACGCTAAAATTAATGCAGCTGTTCGGCTGTTCGTTACTGCAGTTGGTCAAAAAAGTGGCGGATCGTTTTCTACCGAGGATGCTTCTCTGATTTTGTCTCTTTGTTTTCATCTTCTAAATATTCTGATATTAAAAATATAAAAATAAAAATAAGGGGCAAAGTTTAATACAAAGTAACTTTTTTCCTCTCATTTTTTTCAGCTAAACTATAGCAACCTTTTTAAAAAAATTTTGTTTGAAATTATTACTATTTTTTTTAGCTAAGAGAAAATTGCAAATTTGGTCTCATACGTTTCAACGTTTCTCATCTTTGGTCTTAAAAATGCCATTTATGATCAGTGACGGATCTAAAAATTAACTTAGGAGGGCCCGATTTTAAATGTTAAATATTGTAGTTTAAATCGAAACACTCATTTCCTATACAAATGTATTTACTATAAATATAGATATCAATATGTTTACCATTATGTTTTTAAATACTTAGAATCCATATCACCCTCAAACATAAAAAAAAAAAAAATGAGATTTTCTGTTTATTTATAATTTAATTTCAACATCTACAAGTTATGAAATAAACAAGTTTTTTGGTTGATAAATTGATTTAAAATGAACTTTTGCAGCACATTGCATAACATTTTTGCTGATGAAAGCTTATCAATTGAAATTCTTTTAAGATAAAAAGTAAGTAAAAAATATGTGATTACACAAAAAAAGTAAAAAATCAACATTAAAAAATATAACAATCCAACTAAATACTCGGTTTATAAATCACAAAATCTAATTACAATTAAGAGACCAGAAAAATAAATCATTATAAATATTTTCAAAAACTTCTCTAGAAATGTAAAACCTAAGGATTGTTAGTACCTTTTTCAATAAATGAGTAACATTATTAATTTAAATTAAAATAACATAGAAAATCAATTTTATTTTTTAATATATTGTAAATATTATTTTCATTTCTATACATATCTTTTATATTATTTTCTTTATATATATATATATGTACGTATTTGTTTAAAAAAAATCAGGGGGCACACGGGCCTCCCTGGGCCACATCTACCTCCGTCACTGGTTGTACTTGTACTCGTTAAGAAAACAAAAGAAAATTAAATTTATTTGACTGGACATGATGGTTCTTTTCATGTTAGGTCGTGTTCATTTTCAAAAAGTAAATTGAATTAGATTTATCAATGAATTAATTTGACTGAGTACGACGGTTCTTTTCGTTTTATGTCGCGTTCGTTTATTAAATTTAAAAGTAAATTTAATTAGTTTGATTCATGCGAGCACGCTGGTGACTCGACAATGGTGTATTGAGGTCGCTTCCTAACAAGTACCTTGATTCTCTTTTCGGCGTTGTTTCGGTTATGTCGTCTCCAGCCATAGTGAAGAAACATGAGAAGAATTTGGTTGAGGGTTTGAACATAAGAGAAAAATAGGTTCTGAAACAAATTATGGTTGGAGAAATTAATGAAAAAGTTCGAAGATATGATCGAAAATCGGTTTCTAAAATCAAGGAGAGGAGAAAGAGAGAGGGTATAAGGGCGGTTAAGAAAAGGAATCACACCAAAAATTCAAATTGAAACATCCCTTCCCTTACACAAGAAATCTTCCCACAAAAATTCAAAATTTGAATTGGAAGATCAGATTTTACTCACAAGTAATATTCCACACAAAATTTGAGACCCAAATTAGTTCATTCTTGGAAGGAAATTATATGTATTATGCCTAATTATGAAAAAATAGAATAAAATAAAATATATTCGCATGTAAAAGGTCACTAGAATCAATAATTTCCTTTCTTAATCCACATATGCAAGATTTTGACGAAAAATTGTTAAACATAAGATGGATGAATCAGGGGAAATCACTGGGAACAAAGCTCGTCTTGTGGCACTGGAGTGCACTCAAGAAAAATGTGTAGATTTTGATGAGACATTTTCCCATGTTGCTCTTCTAGAGTCTGTCAAGATGTTTTATCCATTGGTTGTTTAATGGCCTTAATTATCTATCAAATGGATGTGAAGTCTGCGTTCTTGAATGATTTTTTAAAGGAGGTAGCTTATATTAAGCAACCTGAGGAATTTGTTGATCCTCACTTTCCTGATCATGTATGTAGGTTAAAAAAGACTTTGTATTGGCTCAAACAAGCTCTTTGCATTTATTATTTAGTAATAATTAATGCATTAGTGAAAGTCAATCCTATTACTTTACATCAATAATTTTAAGCAACAATTAACAAGCTCTTAACTTAACTCTTTTATCTTTATCCTTTTTTATATATTTATTATAGAATATGTGCATTCCTAAATTAATAAAATAATTCCCCCACTGCTTAACTTAATTTTTCCAATCGAAACTCGTAGATTCCAAGACTTTTCTAGAACATCAAATTCCGTATATTATTGGTAAAATTAAAATTTGTTGCTTTTTGTTATTTAATTACAAAAACAATAACTCTTGCCATTCTTTGCCAAATGCCAATAATGCGTAAAATCCAAGAACTTGGAATAAGTTCGTCATGTGACAATAATTAATTTTTTTTATTATTTTATTACAAAAACAATCTCTTTGTGTCATTCTTTGCCAATAATTCGTAAAATCCAAGAACTTGGATTATTAAATAAGACTCGTCATGTGACCATAATTGCTTTGAGCTTCTTTGAATTGTCGTCGAGAATGATTTTAGTATCTAACAAAATATACGATGCTGCCCCGACCAATTGAATAATTGCGCATTTTAGAGGCGATGGATATATAAGAAATCATATTTGTTTTGCTGGGAATATTTTAAATTTATTATTCGAATAGTAGTTTGATATATAATATATTATATAAAATAAGTTAATATTTTTGTTTCATATTTTATCCTGATAAACCCATTTAAACTAACAGCAACTATTAATAAGATAGAAAATATTATTCATTCACTCACATATTTCAAACTATCATTTATCACAAATTAATATTTTTGTGAATCACATTATTTTTAATTAATATATTTTTATATTACATTCATTTACTATTCCCAAAATATTTTAATATATGCATCGAAAATGAACTTTGAAGTTTTTCTATCATATCAGGTATTATCACGAATTGGAGAAGACAAATCCCAGAAAAAACACGAAGGGGCATATCTTGCAGAGATTGCCCAAATCTTATAAAAATTATTATCTCGGTTTACTTTAAGAAATAAATATTAAACTTAATGTAGTAAAATTACTTAATTACCAACTAAATTGCAGTACAGCCTCATAAGTCATACCCCATCTCTATATCAATTTGTGGTACGTGGGATCCACTACAAGAAAGCGACTAGTATTGTGTGTGGTTTTGTTTTCTTCTCCGGAGAGAACGTTCTAGATAGATCAATTATTAATTATTGTTAGTGGAATCTCAATTACTTTTTTGTCATTTACCTCTTTCTCTCATACTCTCATTCTCTCTCTCTTTCCCTCTCCAATTTTAACGGCTCTTTTGTCCTTCAAAAAAATTTCAAAAAAATGTCACAACATCGCGGGGGCCTCGACAAGGGATTGATGATCGACTCGATATATATATATATATAGGGAATGGTTCAGATGCGCCCCGTTTTTAAAAGTGAGGACGTGAGACCTGATCTGGTCCGTTCATCACTCATCTAATCTAACGTTCAGAATTAATTTAGTACATTAATCAATATTTCTGATTTCGCGGGCGGTTCGTCTTCAGAACTCTCTACTCTACTTTCCCTCTCCATTTTCGCGCTTGCTCGTTGTTTCTGTTCCATTCTCTTCCATTTTCGATTTCGATTTCGATTTCTCGGGCGTTACTATCTGTTTCCGTTTTATCCTTCGTAGTCTATTCTCGCAGATTCTCTGTGATTTCGCTGATTCTCGTCTTAAATTGGTGAGTATTTTTGCTGTTGTTTTTGTTTGTAATAACTTTTTCGATTTAGGTTTTTCATTCTTTCATTTAATAGATTAAAGTAATATGTTTTGTTTATTTTTTGCTAAGTTAGCTGTCTGATACTGCAAGGTTAGTGTATAATGTTGCTAGGTTATTTATATTTGCTGCTAGGTTAGTTGTCTGATGGTGCTACGTTAGTTACCTGTAGCTGATATGTTGGTTGTCTGATGTTGCTAGCTTAGTTGTCTTTTTGCATCTAGGTTAGTTGTCTGATGCTGCTATGTTAATTGTCTGATGTTGCTAGGTTAGTTGTCCTCTGCTGCTATGTTAGTTGTCTGATGTTGCTCGGTTAGTTGTGTGATGCTGCTAGGTTAGTTGTCTGATGTTGCTAGGTTAGTTTTCTTCTGCTGCTATTTTAGATTTCTGATGTTGCTAAGTTAGTTATCTGTAGCTGCTATGTTAGTTGTCTGATGTTGCTAGGTTAGTTGTCCTCTGCTGCTAGGTTAGTTGTCTGATGTTGCTATGTTAGTTGTGTGATGTTGCTAGGTTAGTTGTCTTATGCAGCTATGTTAGTTGTCTGATGTTGCTAGGTTAGTTGTCTAATGTTGCTAGGTTAGTTCTCTTCTGCTGCTATGTTAGTTGTCTTCTGCTGCTAGGTTAGTTTCTTTCTGCTGCTATGTTAGTTTTCTGATGTTGCTA